TCAAATCGCGGTGGATTTTGGCGAATTTTTAATTTATTAAATTTTCACGGCTTAAAAACTTCGAAAATATAACATTTTTACAGGCTCTAGATAGTAAGAGCACTGTCATAAAGCATTACATTTCAAATAGATTTTGATTGAAATAAGCAAATTTATTATACTAATTTTGGTATAATAAAAACGTGCAGTTGACACTCTATACTTTCGGACATCTATTTTTTAATCGCTAAAACTTCTGAAACATATCATATTCTTTGAAAAACAAGCCGAATTCTATTAATTATATCCGCATTTTTAAAATGCTATGCGCGTCAGCTTCACAGAAGCTGTACAACTTTGCTAATTATCCGTAATTAATATCTGTATTGCTGAAATATCGCGCAACTGTATTGGTGAAACGGCAAAGAATTTAATTAGGTTTGACCTTCTTGTAACAATGCGATCAATCGTTGATGCTCGAAGACTATATCCGGTTAATTAAAAGCTATTAAAATGGAGGACTCGGAATAAAGGATTCTGGGAATCTCGAGAATTTGCTCGCGCTCTTCAGTTCATTCTTCCGCGTGGAATTTGTTTTATCGCACACGGCTAAACTACTCCCATAAATTACTTTCTCCATGCGATCAGATAATGTCCTCAAATTCACGCGCGCAACTTCCGCCGTAGATCAATCTCTTCCCCAACCTCGCTGGTTGAATGGGCGACCGAGCGCGCGACTCGCACTACTTCGAGAAACACCGTAACATTACGCCGGATTTCGAAAACAGATTGTTTCGAAAACTCGCCGGACAGATTCGCGCAGATCACTTAAATCATGACTTTTTTTCAAACAAATAAGAAGTTGAAAGACAATTTATTATCGTTAATAGAACCGTGGTCTGTGGTTTTATGTATATTAGCACGATATTAGATTTATCTTACATATATCTTATGAATCTATAATCAGTTTTTTTAGATGCTTTTGTTACGTTGTGCTGTTATAGAGGCATAACACATTGCACATACTCTTGTGCAGCCACCGTACGTAAAAAATTAAATTTTAAATTGACTAAAGCTTTAAAAATTGAACATGGAATGGATATGAAGCTAAATTATGCATCATGCAAATGTGTCTAAATGGAACGGCGTTTGAAAACAGGTGATATACCCGATATACCACCGCGGTTTGGTATATTCGTGGAGATGATAATAATGAACAATTCATCTCTCGCCGTTTGATGAGGCATATATGTCGGAAACCTCGAAGACGAAGGGCGAGCAATCGATGATCGGTTATTTACGTTTCCATCGAGGGGGAAGGACGAGCATAAAAATGCTATGAAAATGCAGGGACATGTAGGAAACACAAAATTTCCATCGTGCCGCGTGTAAATGCGGTACGGCCGAAAAGAGACGGGTATATCACGGTAGACGGCTACCACGGAAATTGCCCACCTGCCCAGTTTCCACGATCTCTTCATCCCCCGATCCCTATTTCAACGCGTAGATATATGATAAATCGAAGTGCATCGAGGCACTTTCTCATCCAGAGAAGGAGATACGGCCATGCAAACGTGTACTGGATATTTTATCTCTTGTCTCATTTTCGCAAAATATATACTTTCGTAATTAACAATTATTATTAAAATGGTGTATTATAGTAATATTATAATATATTTACATTGTCCAATAAAAACGGAAGTACGTTGTTACACATTTTCGTTGTACTACGTTTCATGTGCTTCCTCCTGCTGCAGGTAATTTAATTCTTGAAATGTTAATAATGAAATGTAACTGCTGGAATATCACTTACAGAAATGCATGGATGAATAAATACGGTAGCTTCTCTATTCCTCCGAAAATAACAGCCAAGTTTTTCCTTTGAAGTAAATTATGAACGACCAGTCTTTTTACCTTTCCTACCTTTGATCAATATATATGTCATCGCACAAGATTTTAAAGACAGATATCGATAGGCGATCTTATCAAATAATGAATATGCAATAGCAAATAAAAAAAATTAATTAAATGTATTTTTAGACTGCGATAAAGCGATTGTAATATAAACACTTTTTCAATTTTTTCGCGATTATGTGGGAGTATAATTCTAAAAAAGATATAATTATTTTATAGTCTATACGTTCATTATTGCGCAGAATGTATATTTGTGCATGCATATTATCTTTTTTCATCTTTTAATTTTATATTCAAGCAACACTTTCTTATTCTTTAGTTATTTTAGGAAGAATATTTCTCAGACTATATATAATGTACCACTTTAATAATATCGCTTTATGTAGCTAGTAACGTTTCCATTATTACTATCTTTACGACCAGTGGACGTAGCACTGGAAAATATCGATTCTCCGTGGAAATCATCTTAATGCCGACTGGCTGGTCTTGAATTAAGGTCAATAACCAAGATGGATGAGGCTTATGGAATTTCTCTGCGGGATATTTGTAGACCTCTATCTTCTTGTTTTCCACCATATCACATGAACTGTCCACTTACTTAATCTTGGCATTTCCTTTCCATTAGTCCGCAAGTAATTGGATTGATGATAATGCCATTGTACTAAATACATTTATTGAATTTGTTTTTAACGTAGATGTAACATATATGCGTATAACAGAATCGCACAATTAATATTTTACTGTGATCACCGTTATTAATAATATGTTTACATTATCGTTATCTTATGAATATGCGTATAATAATGTATTTTAAAACTCTTGTAGACTCTGTCAACTCAAAGTTCAATTTAATTTAATGAACATTTAATTTAATGAACATAATTTAATTAAAATTTTCGTATTTAATATCTAGTTTAATTAATTTTAACGAAAATATATACGACATTAAGGACTGAAATTAATTATGTAAAATTTTTAATTTATTGATTTAACACTGCGCAGACCCCGTGTTTTTGAAAGCACTCACCCGGACACCTTGGTACTTTTAAGTCTAAAAGGGTTTCGAAAGCGTTTCTGTGTTACAAAAAAATTATAAAAATTCATATATCATCTTTAAGGTTTCAAAAAGTGATTTCTATTACATAGGCCGGAACTGTTGCAATTTCTTTTTTCCCCATTTTCGTGGGAATCATAAATGTGAAAAATCGATTTAGGCCACGGTGTCCGCGCATGCAGTGTTAATGCACATACTTGTACAATAAATATACAGATTAAATATTTGAATAGTTTAGCATAGCGGTAGAAAGTCTATGCTATACAGTTAGTTCTTGGTCGAGGGGTGTACATCGGCACGCGCATCCCGTCGTATTACTGGGATAGACCATGGGTATAAGGATAGAAATTAGGAGCGGTCTAAAGTTTGATAATTAAGAGAGCACTATTCGCTAGAGTGGTTTGTAAGTTACGATGGAGTGCGCGTGGTTTAGCTACCGTTATCTTCTATATACGTGATACTCGAGCGCCGCTGCATCTTAACTTCGACCTTCGATCCGGTATTCGTGGTCCTCTCTGCGCTCCTTGGCTGGCGCAGTTAATGCCACTCCTATCCTCTTAAGATATCGCATTATCACTAAGAAGCTTTCCGCGCAAGACGCAAACTCTCCGCAAGTATAAAAGTGGATCGGATTAAAACTTAACGTGGATCTTCGCATAATTGCATTTCTAACAAGCAAGCCCATTGCGACGAGGCAACGGTGACCTTTCTCGATTACACGGGGCTCTATTAAACGAAATGTCGAGCCCATCCCGCCAGTCAAAGTCCCTCTTGTGGCGAAAACTCGTTACAAAGTGGCGAATTAATCGATATATCAAACCGGTAAATTTGTTCTTTTAGCTTATCACAATTTTATCGTATTAAATAATTTGATTTACGTAATAATATATAGATTTATCGTTACTTTTTGCATTTTCATATCATAAATATTTAGAACAAAATGTCAATGTACTAATTGGTGAATTCTCGCTGTTACGAATTGCAATGCATTTCATTGAGGCGCGCGTTACTTTGTTTAAGTTCTCATCTTCACGTCCATTTATCTATTACCTTCTCTCGGTTCTACGGCTCTACCGTTCGCAACTTCTGATTGAAGCCCAACGGTGTGTTGAAGTTAACCAGAACTTATAGCTAGTTTATGCACCTGTCTCTTCCCTCTTATAACCTCTGTAAACGCGGCTCCGGCCTTTGCCGCAAGCTGCTATTCCTGCGAGCGCGAGATTGCAGCCGCCTCATCGTAGAATTCGCAACCTGAAGCACCGTCGAAGAGCGTATCAGGTTCACGCACCGCTGGTATCATAATACCAGGCACGATTCAATATAGTTAGCACATCTTCTATTAAGATCTGTCAGTAACGGGCTCAACTTTCGACGATCAATTATCGCGCGGAATAGACTTCAATGTGAGCATTCACGTGAGTCTCTAATATCCATACCAAATTCTGAATTTTGTGAATGTATAATAAGATATATCGCGTCTTTTTCTGATCGTATACGAGTCTATCTTTAGATTTACATTCCACGTGCTAAAAAGGAACAGTGGAGGATCATTCCATAAATTAAGATATCGAGGATGGAAATTAATTTGCTATTTGCGTATTTTTATTACATTTACTGGATTGATTTTAGCATAATAGGAATTTGTAAAAGCAAACTGACATTCATATCAATTATAAAAACAGTTGTTCGTTCGTGAGTGAAAATAACGCCATATCAGTGAAATAAAATAGTACACCATCAGAATATTTCTTGTAGTAGCAAATACATCATTTATAAAAATATTAATAACTCCGTATAAAAAGCTCGATATATTTGATTCCAGGTATATGACGAGTTTAGCATTGTGTTCATTTTACTTCACCACGTCACTGGCACAATTGTAATTATATATATCTCGAGTAATGTCGCGATTTAAACTGCTTCGCATTATTTTACAATCTATTAATATATTTATTAATAAACTATGAACAAAGCTCTTGAGCTGCGCGGTATTTTACATGGTATTTCTGGTATTTTATGTAAACTCTAATCAAATTCCGCCTTTGTTTTCCAGATAATTCACGGCGTACATATCGAGCCAGCGCACGAAGTAAAAAAACGTAGCATCAGTCAACCAGTACGCATTCTGTTATCTTACGACGAGAGCGTCTTTAGGTAAGTTCGTACACATATGTGTTTCCACAATGTATTCAACGATATTTGTCGACGGCATGAAATTCGGAGGAGTTACGGATCGACTATATCAGGATATAAATCGAGTTCACCTCGCAGCGCAGCGAATTGCCGCTAACTATCTTAAGCGGCAATCTCCTGCAAGCAATCGAAAATAGAGGAATGTTCAGGTTTAATTTGATTTATCCGTGAATTTGGATGCTTCCGATTCCGTGTGACGTGGAATATTTATCAAGATATTAAAATGAGAGAGAGAGAGAGCTTTTAAAAATTTTTTTTGCATCTTAAACATTATAGGTGAAAAACGGTTAGAAATCAGTGTTTCAAAGTATATATCCATGAAAATGATGCAAATTTCTTAATATATTTTAATTCAGTACAGTTTTATAATTTCTTGGATTGTAACATGTTATAAGATTACATTACAGTCGTGGAGGAATAGTTTTTCCTGCCCGATAAAAAAAATTCGGCATGTAATGAGGTTAATATACACTCCGTAATTTCTTCTTGTGATGATTATAATCTTCTATGCGCGCTTACGCTCGCAATTCACTCGAATAAATACGGTTTTTACGGACGTCGTCTTGTCGTCACGCTTACAGTGGGTGTGTCCAATCCGCTACGCATTTTATACAACGCACAATGGGATTTTTTGCACGGAGCTAATTTAGTAAAGTGCTCATAAATATTTTCTCTGCCGTTTAATTTTCAAATGGTGGCAGAAATTAGCTCGGCCGTCGTGTAATACTTCCGTTACTGCACGACGCTCCCGGGTTACCTGTCACTTACTCGCGTCGTGAAAAGAACAGTACAATTCACCACTCTCGCAGGAGGATAGTCTCTATCCGTAATTGCCGCTCTTGCAGACGTTATTTCTAATCCGCGCGAAAATTACTGTAAGGTGCTCCTCGAGGTGCTCCTTAAACATTTACATCGCGAATATACGATCGCGTTTGCCGTTTCCGAGGGAGACCATTCGAATCGAGAGAGGTATATGGTCTAGCGCGAGAGCTCCATTGCGAGTTTCGATATTACCAGGTAATGTCTTCAAGAGCTACAGTAATGTAACTCCAGATGGCGAATTTTGCACAGTTATTATTTGTATTATTTTCTGTAAAGTACTGATACTCTTACCTCCTAGGTTATTTCTCGAGATACCATCCCGGAAATTTAGAGAGGTTGCAGATAATCTCTACTGCATCCCTTTAGTGTCTTCTGCCGCAACTGCGGAAGGTAATGCGTTAAGGCTATAATAGCTGGAAACATGATAAGCAAAGATATCGTTACTGCTCCAAACGGCGATTCCGTAGTAGCTAATGTGAGACATAATATCGAGATGGTGTATAGCTTTGTATAACGTGATGACTTAAATCGCGGTATCATATATACGCTGTTACGATATATTTTACTTGAAAGCAAAATATTTAATCGTATCAATCTCATAAATAAAAATTTTAAAATTTTAAAATTTTTTCAAGAGATCTTTTTAGTTTACTCTTCTTCTTTTATAACCTTTCTCCGCGATCGTAATTGTGAGTCATCTATTTTGATATAGGATTATCGTTACGCAAACGGTAAGTGTCTAGGGACTTAATAAAGCAATTATTTTTATTGCCCTTCTCGCCCGTTACTGCAAAGCAAATAATCCTGTGTCAACTATCTTAATCCAGTGACAATTTCTGAAACAATCGTTTCACTCGTGTATAGCGCGCATGGAAACGCGTATAACGTCGCGCAGTTTCGATAACGTCGCATATTCTCAAAAACCGTTTCCGTTCTCGCGATCATCGGATAACTCGGCGTACCGGCGTGTCACGAAGTGCAACGCGGCGACGTAACCGTTATGAAACGACTATTGCGAACTCCTATCTTGTCGGCGATTCACAGACCATTGACCCGTACTCCAAGTTTGATGCGGCGCATATATAAGCGACGCTCTCTTTCTCTCTCTCTCTCTCTCTCTC